TCACTTTGTTCTCCAAAATGTATTCCACTTTCAATAATTCATGGTGAGGACAGTAGTGGGGAATTCTAACAGCAGATTTTTCAGAGAATTGAGATATCTCGCTAAGCCCGTATGGCACACTTTACATTCAAACTCCAGCTCTATACATTCCCATTAGACAGTCAATAATTCATGTCTGAGGCACCAAGGGATTCACCACATTTTTAACAATGTAGTAATTGTATTTAAAGTGCACATTGTAATGAATAGACTAATGCCCTGCGACGCAATCCTGGTGCTGTTGATTTCATACGAGACGTTTTGGTCAGCAGCTGTTTTATTCTCACTTCTTTGTTGTGGTTTGATGAGCTCATTAGAACCATGAGTAAAAACCCAAATAAAACACCTCAGAAAGTTAAAAAGGTCTTTCAGCCAAAAAATATTCTAATTTTCTGTGTTTCACCTGTATACTGTATATGTGACTGTCGTGTTGAATTGTGTGAAAACATCTAGGTTTGAAATCAATAATCTATTCTAATATTAATGATGGCATGATCAAAGTACCTTTTAAGAACTCATTCAGACTTGGTTTAATCTGACCTGAACCAAATCCCTAATAAAGACACTGTACGCTTCCATTAGACCTTTGTTACACCTTCTGACAGTGCACATAATTAAAATGCAAATATACAGTACCCCATCAGTTCAAATGATCCAGAGGTACTTTAACCAAGCACAAAAACACAGGCGAAACGCTATAACAATCGATTAAAATACAATATGCAAAGAGTGGCCGCGTGTTTGAATGAGTGACCGCCTGTGGACATTGTCATACGGACATAATAGCGGCAGTGCTGGATTCTCCTTGTGTTTTATGTGTATAATTTTCCCCTGGTAGTACTGCTGTGGAGATGCAATGGAGGGATGAGGGAGGCTGAGACAGGAGAGCTGCCCCCAGTAATGAGGCCCTTTTATGGGCTTTAATTTGTCCCCCTCCCCAGGGACGCTGATGGATGGCTCTCTTTATGCTCACACTCTTTCTTTCTCCCATCTGTGATACGAAGGATTTATTTATACCCTCATATTAGCTCTCTAACAAGTGCCGCCCTGCCATTACCACCGCACACACACAGACTCAGTGTTCAGACTGCTGGGTTAGAATAACAAGGTTTGGTTTGAACTCTTGAAAATGGCATGGATAAAATTGAGGCAATAATGTAAACTATGATAAAGGGTTTACACCAAGAACAATATGTGAGGAAGATTTGGTAATTTCTACATTGTGAATCCTAGAGCACAGTTAGAAAGCAAAAGAATACAGACATCGGTCTGACCACTCTGGGCCCAGACTATACATGTGGGGGTCAGATTGATCCGATTCAGTCGTTTGGTGCTTTCAAATGCCTTATTCCGCTAAAACTTTGGAACAGTGTGTGTACATGTTCTATCATATTTACTGCAAAAGCACACTTTTGTTTACTTTAATAACTTGATTTTCACACAGGCTTTTTTCAATTGCAGCACTAGTCGTTTAGTTAAACAAACCAGGTTTCCTGCTTTTGACGTAACAAAACAATGCAACCACATTTCTCACACACACAAACACACACACACACACACACACTCACACACACACACACACACACACACACACACACACACACACACACACACACACACTCTCACACACACTCTACATATGGGGACAAATACATATGGGGCAAAACACATTTTTTAAGATGAATACATTTTGTCTTGCCTCAGTGGTATCCGGTTTATGTGTTCTAGTTCAGTCAAATTCAGTTGGACGAAACGAGTTATCCTTTTGCAAATAAACATGTCCATGTGCAGCACGTGTGACATCAACTGTAGAATGTGCCACTAAAGCCTTAAAGCTCTGGAGATGGACCAGTATTACCAAGTGTCACTCTGTTTTATAAATTCCACACAAAAAAAAGCACTAAAAAAAGTTACTGAAAGATTTGACATCAAAACCTGCGAATAGTAGCAGTTTAAGTTTTTTTTTGTTTTCTACATGCAATAATATAAAACTATTGATTACAAACCTATTCTGGTGTGCTGGTCCATGACCTGGGTATAGGTTTGTTTGTTTTTTTTAAGTCATTCAACTTAAGAAATAGTCTTCTCCAGTTCTTCGACTTTGTTTCCTTCCGGTGAGTGTGTGCAAGTATGAGGAAGAAGGAAAAAACACAAAACATTTCGCCCCTGGGCAGTTCATTGTGGATTCTGGCTGACTCCTGCTCGGCTTTCACTCTGGGGAAATGAAATTTAAAAACGAACTTAAAAGTTTATCACCGGTTGGCAGTTTTGGCAAGTGATAAAAATGACCATTGGGAGAGGCTGATGTGGTGTGACAGGTGCGCAGGGATGAAAATAGCAGGCTGCATACGTTTAGTTTGTGTTTTCAAAGGCGCGGGCCCCACGCTGGCACCGCTGCCCAGCTCCATGTTCATCCATTCACCCACAGCTCAGGGGCCTGTCACTATGCGCACATCAAAGCACTATCAGTCACCTGTGTGATCTGCAAAAACTAACTCCTTTTTGGTTACCTATGTTTATTTACTTTGTATATGTTTGGCTCAAATAAACATTCAGCTTGGGGTACCTGAAGAACGTGAATGTACATCATTGAAACAATCTGATGTGTTTCTATGTCTCAAAACAGTTTGATGCATCTGTTATTTTTGACATGCATTATTTTTGTGCCCTCAATCATAGAAAGCCTTAGGTTTCGGCTTGTTTCCCAAAATTTAGGACCTGCGGGTTCATTCATCTATTTCCATGTTTGCATGAGAATTTATAAAAACAAAAAAGTCAGCAAAAACAACTAAACAACTATTTGTCTAATCAATTCAATGTATTTTTGTACAAGCTATTTTTGTACAAGCTAATGTCTGGCTGTAACAGATCAGAGAATCAAACAGTCCAAATACAGGAAATGCAATAATAAAGGGGCAAAAAAAGAATGTCCACATGTTGATAAAGTCCATAATTGTCTTAGAATGTCGGCTGTCCTGGATCTTCACCAAAGAGTATAATCTGCCGACTATTTGATTAATCAGAATAATAGCTAGATCCCTACAATGAATCATTAGTTGAGAGTTGTTGAGATCCACTTGACTGGAGGAACATGGTGCTGATTTGCAACAGTAAGCATATGTACTTTTTATGTGTGCACAAGTCAAGAGCTTCGTCAAACTGCAGAAGCATACAGCCACTGGCAATCCCCACTCTTGCATCTGCACACTTTCTAGTCCCAGGCTCTTGAAGATGAATTGATGCCTTTTACCTGTTTCAATCCGTCCCCCATTCATCATCTTTCCCTTCAGCTCAGATAAGCCAAACGCAGCACGAATAGAAGACAGAGGAGAAACACGGAGCGGCCGAGTAAACAGCACAAAAATATCTTCTCAGCTCTGGGATATGTTATCAGTGACGCGCTCGTGTGCGGAGGGCTGGGCCTGGCTTGTCTCGCTCATCATCAAATCGCACGTTGGAGTGCGTCTAGCGGGTAAGGGTCTTCTACTTACATAACCGACTGAAGGGAAGGTGTTTGGAGCAGGGCCAACGAGGGGAAGCGGCCCACAGGCTGACGACAGACGCAGAGTGAGAACATTGTGGCGTACAAGGCTCTGGAAAAGGTTGTACGGTGTTCTGATTTTCCTCTGCGGCCGAGTTGGGGAGATAAAGACACACATGTTGTCATCGCTTTTGACGCATTGGTGCTGTTAGTACATATAGTTTTATATTTGCGTGAAAGAAAATTCAACTGCAACTGCGGACTGTCTTCCCCAGCCCGGACTCGTGGGTTGCAACCCCTCCCTGCCTGTGAGTGGCCTCCACCCTCGTTCTACAGCCTCAGTCCTGGATCTACAGCCCGTCCGTGGGAGCGGATCCCTCCCTCAATGTGGGCTTCCCCGAGGTTTCTCACTTTTCTCCCACTGAGCTTTTTTTTCTTGCAGATGCAGGAAGGTCTAACATAAGGACAGTGGCGAGGATCCAGGACACTCGACTTTCAATGACATTTATGGACTTCATCAACATACATGGACATTGGTCATCTGCCCCTTATGAACCAATGACCAATGTATTTTTTTATTTAGCATTCTTGTGTTTGAACTGTTTGATTCTCTGATTTATTCTGGCAAATTTGACGGTTTTGTAATGTCATACCGTTTCTACAACTTCTGTTGAGATTTAGTGTACTTATAACCCTAACCCTATGGGACTACAGATGGAAATTTGCCTTATTGGCTAATACAATCTGGCATGTTTGCATTCATGTTTCCATGTGTCCTGACAAATTCAAATAAATAAAGAAAGAAAGAAAGAAATCAGTTCCTGGGCCCAGACATCCCTCTCCAACCACAACTCAAGCTTGTCCAGAGGAATCACAAGGTGTTCCCTGGCTAGCTATATGAGGCATAGTCCCTCCAGTGTGTTCTGCACGGATCACCATCCAGTGAGGCCTTCAGGAAGCATCCCAAACAGATACCCGAGCCACCTCAACTGGCTCCTCTCGGCGTGGCAGCAGGTCTACCCCGAGCTCCTCCTTCTGCAAGAAAGACCTTTGCAGGAATCTTTTTTTGACAACATCTAAAATCTTGTCTTTTTGGTCCAAAGTTTATTCAGCTCATAATGCTTTTTTACACTGGACTTTTGCGTTTTATTTTTCAAAAAAATATGAATTAAGTGATTAAATTGAAAATGAATTAAAATCAAACAGAATAAATTCATTCGGCCGATAAAGAAAGACAGAATATGTATCTACAGTCCGACTTCCCTCTTCATTTTTCTGTCCTGGACTCTGAGTCAAATGTCTGGTAATACCAAGCAAAAATAATTGATATTTTGCCAGTAGCTATAATTTTTACTCTTTACTTTTGTGGAATGTCTTTCATAGTCATTTTCCATTTCATCAGTTTGTGAATTACACTCCCCACACTTTAAAATTTCCATGTTTATACCTGAATTGGGGTTTTCTTTCTGCCCATATTTCATTACCAACTCTTCGTTTTCTCAGGGCCCTTCAGACTATCCCCACGGTGGTCCCTCAAGCCCCTTCTTATCCCCAGCCTGACCCTCTCTCTGTTGGCTGGTGAGGAGGGGATAGCCCACCACTGCGCCCCTTTGGCACTTCTTTTCAGCTTCCCAGTGTCCCGCGGATCAGCTTGGATCAGGGACGTGCCGCCATCTGCCCACTGTGATCGCTGCTTTAGTGTCTTCATTAGGCATCGCTGCTTTGTGCGGCACTGGCATCTCTCATAGACGCAGAAAAAATATGAAAAAGATGGTGTTACAAGATTGGTTGTATATGGGGTTGATTTGTCAAGATTAATAGTTTAAGCATTCATGGTGAAGGTCATAATATAATCTTGAAAAAAGTAAATATTTGTGGTAATTTTGAAGATTTATTTCTTTATTACGCTAAAGTCAGAGATTTTATACTTGCTTGTTTATTTTGCTGAAGTTAAATATTTTATTGTACTTTAGTTGTTAATTGTAGTTCATTCCAACTGTTCTGACTTCAACTTAAATTCCCCAATTTGGGTATGAATAAAGGATCTCTTAATCTCAATCTTAATTTGAGACAAAGTTCCTTCATGCATAAATATGAAGACCTCCACATATCACGGATTCAGCAAACAAATGGACAAAGAAAATAAGTAAGTGAAACCAAGGGGAGGTGATCGGTGCAGGAAGTCAGAGGACTAAGGTCTGATTTGAGGAAACAAAATCTCAAACATGACCAACTCTAACCTGGTAAAAAGCAGAAGAAAGCCCATTTTTCCTTTGACACGAAAACTCCTAGTGTAGTTTTTTTGACTGCTCCCATTCGAAAAAATGGATTCTAAAAAATACAGTATACAGTGCTTTTATTAAAGTAAAGAAATTCATAAGCTTTTTTTTCTTTATTACATGCTAACACTGGTTGGTTGGATATAAATGAAACACAGCTAAACTAAAATCTAACTACTGGCAAGTAAATAGTGTGTTTCTATGGTAACTAGCACTTTCTCCAAGCTGAGATTGCTCTGAACCAGTCCAGAACTAGTGTAGTGTTGAAATAATTTCATAAACATAATGAAATAGCTGTAAACTACATACAGAATGGATGCAGAAAAGTCAAAATGTTTAGAAGACTGACAAAATGAAAAGCTGTCGAAATGACTGCTCTGGGAGTTTTATAGTGTCGGAGTTGGTTACACCATGTTGTGTCATTGTCGGGACAGATGCGCCACGGCCCTCTCATTTCTGTGCTCTTTAGGCCTGATTGATCCTTCATCTGTCTCCGTCAGTGCAGAAACAGAAACTCCAAAAGTGGCCGTAAGTGTTTCCTTTCCCGGGCCCCCTCCTCAACGCTCCTCTCCTCACTCTTTCTTTCACCATCCATTATGAGGGGCTGACAGCTACCAGACGGCCGAGAGGGGGAGAACAATGTATTGTGACCCCGCGTACCGCCCTCCGGCTCAGCACTGTGTCCCAGCAGGACCCTCCCTCCTCCGTCCCACCCCCTAAACATCCCAACGTCCAGCTCCGCACCAATCAATCGCTCTGCCAGGCCATATAAACGAGGCTCCAAGGCCCATGCATCACCCATACGCGCGCCACCTACACGGACTGCCGCTGTGGCCGGCTCCAGACACTCATATGTGGAAATGGTTTAGAAACAGGTTTTTAAATACAGTATGTGTCTTAATAGACTGTAACTGAGTGGGCTTGCATCTCCAAAAAGCTGAATCTTTGTCATTGTTTGAGGGTGTTCCACTCTTTATTATTGAACATGCTACATCTCACTAAATGCTGTGACAGTGGTCAAAAATGATAAATATAATAAAACATTTTAAAAAAATACAAACTCAACACAAAAAGGCCTGGGATGTGCAGATTTTTTTACATGTTTTTTAGTTCATTTTTTAAATTCTAAAAGTCTGATTTACTTTTGTACAATTCTTTATCTTTTCCTGTAGTGCTGCAGAACTCAATACTGAAACACTCAAAAATAGAAAATGAGGTTTATTGGTTCTGCGTTTTGAGGTGAAGTGTGAAGCGTTATTGGAGGTGACATGGTAAAAATGAATTTGGGCTTGAGAAAGACAAATGATCTATCCTGGGTTATAGAAGTATATAGTCTGAACTCTTTGTAAATGGGTTGATTACTGATCAGTTCATCACTGATCACGAGTTCAATTCTATCTCCACTTTTGCATATTCTCCACATAATTTCCTCCAGGTTCTCCGGTTTCCACGAGACACATGTACAATGGTTAAGGGTGAATGAGTGTGTGTTGTGAAGATTACAAGATCTAAGGGGGCTGAAGATAAGGTTTTCATTGCAAACAGACACACTCGTATGGCATGTCTATTTATTTATTTGACATGGACAGTGTAGTCATGCACAGTTACAGCAGGAAAGATGCGACTGACGCGACACAGAGTGTGTGTAGCTAATGCTAACTTTCAGAGTTCTCAGCAATAAGGTTCTAGGTTGAAATCACGGTCAGAACAGGGTCTTTCTGAGTGGAGTTTGCATGTTCTCCCCATGTCTGTGTAAGTTTCTTCCAGGTGCTCTGGTTTCCCCTACCACTAAAATCATGCAAACATGGTAAATTCCTCCAACTCCGGAAGTCCTGACCAAGCCGAGCATCAACATCTGGAGATGGGTTCCCGGGCGCTGTATATGGCGACCCGACCACTGCTCCTGACGTAACCCTTAGTGACATCAGGATGGGTCAAATGCAGAGGATGAATTGCCCTACAGGGATGAATAAAGTGCACCTTGTACAGTTACCTTATTTGAGGGTCTATAAACAAGTCTCTCCAACTCAAATATGACAACTGTACATTATGTAACCATGAATCTCCATACACCGGTGTTGTGCGTACATAAACCACACTGAAACCTCTGCACCCGCAGCTTATAGCAATACGGCCACACCAGCATAATTGCATCCTCTCTCATTTGGGCTGGGGTCCATGCCGGTCAGCACTGCTATTGTTTACTTCTGGTCCTGTATTACTCTGACTCCCGGATATCCCCCGGGACATCCCCCTCCCCTTATCACCACAATCCCAGCCTTCCACTCACACAGACACACTCCTACTCCTGACTACTATTGCGAAATTGTGTTAATTTAGCCAGCCAGTAGTATTAACCATATTATATCAAATAACTGCCAGAGACAATTGGGCAAGCGGCTCTGTGACTCAGTTTTAATTGATTTTCCTACATGCTCGGAGCTGCGGATGATTTGGTTTCCCACTGACACTATGTTTATTAAAGGCATATTGCATAAAGGAGTAAATAGATATTGTTTGTTGGATTTATATGAGCTGTGAGGGAGTGCTCTCGTTTTAATATCACTTTAGTTTGATTAAAGTCAATATGGAGCTTTGAACTCTGGGCCAAAGGGACAACGTGTACGGACCTGCATGCACGACATCATGGGGAAGTCCACAACAACAACAACAGGGGTTTTCATGGAGGACCAGGTTTGTAATAGACATGTATTTGTGTCGTATTATTGTCATGATAGATGATAATGATAGATATCCAATGCAGTGTGTATCTTAAGACAGTGGCTCCCAAAGTGGGGGTCTTATTCTATATTTTCTACATGATATGTGTTATGGCAATTGTGTACAAACTCTATTTTGAGTTCAAATTGATCGTTTTGACACTGGGGACCCCTGGTATCCCAGTGTAAAACATATACTTCTTCATTTATATATAAATATATACTGTATATATATGTATATATATGTATATATATGTATATATATATATATATATATATATATATAGAAAGATAGCTTTCTTCTATTCAAATTTGAACTCTGCCGCTTTGTGAAATAGCACCTATGATACATGGGCCTAACAGATTAGAACAAAAAGAAAGCTGGGGTCCCTAACTTGTTTTCATAATTACAGTTGTATACAAAAGTTCCGTTACACATCAATGATTGTTTGGATAAGAAATATCAGTTAAATATATTGTACTGGAGATAAACAGTGATATTTGAGAAATAAAACAAATTGTGTATTATTTACAAAAAGTGTTCAGGGATTTTTTTTTTTTTATAAATCAGGCTTAGAATTAAGAAGTTCTGAAATTATTGACCCAATTATTGCATACGTATACATCTTTGTATTCGTAACATTTTGTGATTATACAACGGCCTGCGTCATTATCTTACTACTTGTAAGACAGAGCCCTGTGAGTTGCTAGAGTGAGGGTGCTTCTCACTCACTGGACAAATACACAGGTGAAACAGAAAATTAGAATATCGTTCAAACATTCATTTATTTATGTAATTTAATTTACAATGTCTACTCAGTGTTTAATCTAACCTGATTACATGCAGTGATATTTATCAAGCTTTTATTTGTTATAATGTTGATGTTTATGGCTTACAGTCCCTTTTCAAGTTTCACCTGTATGCAGTATGGGGAGAAAAGCAGAAAAAGCGTGCACATGGGAATGTTTACAAGATCCAAACCTGTCCATCACTCTGTCCCTTCATTGGAATACATGAATAAAGCTGCCCACTCTGACAACCACTTTTTGATTTTGGTGTCTCGTTTCCAATTGCTGAGAGGAGACTCCAGGACCATTTCATCTTGAATATCCTCTACCAGCTGTCCCAGTCTTAAAACCCCACTAATCATCTTTTTGTGTTTGGGGGCACAATATGCTGAAAAAGGCATGGAGTGTGCACACACATAGAGACAGTGCCAGCCCGCTGCGCTCTTGTCCCCGTGCCCTGAGGGGAGAGAAAAGGGGGAGTTGGGGGGGTCGGTATAATCACTTGTTAGAGGTCTGCTCCGTCCCCCCACTCACTCTCACTGTGTCTCTGAGGCACTGACTATATAGTGTCCATTCCAAAGGTCACATGCAAGGTTTTCAATGCCGTGTAATCATCAAAAGAGCAAAAATGATGCTATATTTGGCTCTGTGGTACCAAACTTTCAAACCACAATAAAATGGAACGACTGTAGTTCTCAGGTGTCTATTTGCTGCAGCAGTTACAAAAAAGAAAAAAAAAAACTTTTACGTGAATAGAAAGCATTTGAATAAAAGGCGTTCATTTTGTAACTGGTACACAAAACTGAAATGGCACAAGGAGGTCAGAGGATGCTAAAATGTAAAATATGCTGTACTTCTCCTATTGAATATATCAAGATACTTTCTAAAGCTTTCCTCAGTTAAAACAAGAACTCTGCTGCTTTGTGGAATAACACCTGTATATACCATGGGCCTAACAGAGAAAGCAAGCATTATCAAAGCTGGGGTCCCTAACTTCTTTTCATGATTACACCCATCAATTTGTAGGAGTTTTCCTTATTCATCAATGGTTGTTTGGATAAGAAATATCATTTAAATATATTATATAGGAGATAAACACAGTGATGTTTGAGAAGTGAAATAAAATAAGTATCATTTACAGAAAGTGTGTGGGCTCAGTTGGTATTTTATCCCTAACCCTTACCATATGGCCATAGAAAATTGCGGTACAGACCTCAAACTTGTATCTTTGATTAAATCTGTGTTTTAGAGTCACAAATGGCAAAAGTACTTTTAAGAGTATTTCCATCTACCAGAGACGAAAACCTAAGATTATGGTAACCTTACCTTAGCTGTTAGCTTCCATAGCCGCGTTTCCACCACAGGAACTTCGGGGTAATTTTCCAGGGCCAGCCCCGTCGGTGCGTGTCTCGACTGCAGGAACTTTCCCCAAAGGGACATTTACAGGAACATTTACGGGGCCCAACTGAGTCCCTCCTCCATGCTAGGTACTCCGTTGGGCCCTGGTGGGACTTGAGGTTAACGCAACACTGATTGGCTAAAGCTAGCGCAGGCTCAGACCGCTCAGACGCCAGCAGAAAGCAGCAAAACAACCGACATTAACCCAGCAGCATTAACCCAGCAGCATTAGCCCAGCAGCATTAGCCTAGCAGCATTAGCCTAGCAGACATCACTGAAAACAGCGAACAACAGCACGGCATTGATTCAGACGGGGTCTGAGGAATCGCGGCAAATGAAAAGATATATTTAGACATTTCAGCTTCACCTGGAAGCACTGAGGATTCATCACACTCCAAAACAAGCCGTGAAAAGTTTTTAAAAACTGAAGCAGGACTATAAAAAAAGTCAAAGACCACAACAACCGGAGCGATTACGACCGTAAAATAAACAAATGGGTTTGGCGCATGGATTTATAATAATAACAACGGGTTTGCTTAATGAGTTTCGCTTATGCGGCAATCGAAACTCATAGACGTCGCCGAGTGGTCCTACTGCAGTGGAGACACGGACACCGAGAGGACCGAGGGAGAGGAAGGTTCCTGTAAAAGTTCTACCCTGCTCCTTTTACCAGGACATCCTGCAGTGGCAACGCGGCTAATGTAGGCCATGAAAAAAGTTCCTGCATCTTACCAATCTGTACTGATGTTAGTACAGATCGTCAACACATCACTTCTGAAAGTCATAATTGTTCGTAAACGCTTGAATACTGCTTATATTTTCTTCAATATATGTGCGTGAAATGCAGTTAGAGGGAGTTCAGGTACAACGGTGGTATTTTATAACAGCACTCGCG